AAGAAAGAAAGAAAAGAAAAGAAAAGAAAAGAAAGAAGAAAGGAAGGAAAATGGCAGTGTATAAATGGATTAAACATTTTTCAGAGGGGAGAGAAAATGTCACTGATGATGAAAGGTCATTCTTTAGTAATGAGCAGAGTTGGTGAAAACATTTGCAAAAATTTGTCAAATTGTGCATCAAAATCGTAGGCTGACTGTGAGAAGCATGGAAGACCAAGGAAACATCATTAGAAAAACCGGAAAATCTTAACTGAAAATCTTGGCATGAGAAAGGTGTGGCTCTTACATCATGACAATGCACCAGCTTACAAGGCACTGTTCATGAGAGAGTTTTTAGCCAGCAAACAAATAATTGTTTTGGGACACCCTCCCTTCTCACCTGATTTGGCTTCCAATGACTTTATTCTTTACACAAAGACAAAAGAAATTTTGAATGAAAGCTATTTTGACGACATTCAGTACATCAAGGGCAGTACAATAACAACTCTGATGGCCGGTCCAGAAAAAGAGGTCCAAAATTACTCTGAAGGATAGACTAGGCACTGCCATTGGTGTATAGCTTCCCAGGGGAAGTATGTCATAGGTGAGCATTGTGATATGCAGCAGGGAGGTATGTAGCACTTTTTCTAGGACGAGTTCATGAACTTAATTGTCAGATCTTGTACATATAGTTATGTTTCATGTAGTAACATTTTGGTCAATGATGGACCACACATATGATGGTGGTCTCACAAGATTCTTTTTTTTTTTTTTTTGACAGCCTCAAGCTGTGCCCATAGGTAGAGTGCTGTGGCATCACAGCTCACAGCAACCTCCAGCTCCTGGGCTCAAGCGAGTCTCCTGACTCAGCCTCCCATGTAGCTGGGACCACAGGCACCCACCACAATGCCCAGCTATTTTTTGGTTGCAGCCGTCATTGTTGTTTGGCGGGCCTGGGCTGGATTCGAACCTGCCACCTTAGGTGTTTGTGGCTGGCACCTTAGCCACTTGAGCCACAGGGGCCGAACCGTCTCACAAGATTCTAATGGAGCTGACAGACTCCTTTTGCCCAGAGATGTCCCAGCCATTTTAACACCACAGCACAACACAGTGCCTTTGGTACAGCTGCCTGTGGTATTCAGCACAGTAACATACTGTATGAGTTTGTAGCCTAGTATACTCTGTTTAATACTAGAAACCCAGATTATGCTCAGTCCCAGCCCAGTCCCTCTGTTTAATACTAGAAACCCAGATTATGCTCAAATGATAGCTTCAGGCAAAAACTCAGAGGAGGTTTAAATCTTGAGGGTAGTTAAGTTGGGAAGACTTCAGGTAGAAGGCAAGATTTAACCTTCATGTAAGCTTTTTTTTTAGACAGAGTCTCACTATATCGCTCTTAGTAGAGTGCTATGGCACCACAGCTCCCAGCAACCTCAAACTCTTGGGCTTAAGCCATTCTCTTGCCTCAGCCTCCCAAGTAGCTGGGACTATAGGCACCCGCCACAACACCCGGTTATTTTTTTGTTGCAGTTGTCATTGTAGTTTAGCTGGCTCTGGCCAGGTTCAAACCTGCCACCCTTGGTGCATATGGCTGGTGCCATAACCACTGTGCTACAGGCACTGAGCCATGTAAACATTTGACATGATTTGAATGTCTGTCCCCTCCAAATTCATCCTAAAACTCAATCCCCATCATGGTAGTATGAAGAGGTAGGGCCTTTGGGGAAGCAATTAAGTCATGAAGACTCCACCCTTCTGAATAAATTAATGCCCTTGTAAAAGAACTTCAAAGGGAGTTTGCCTTTTAATTCTTCTGGTCTTATGCTGTGTGAGCAAAAGGCTTTTCCCAGACACCAAATACTGTATCTTGAGCTTGCATTTCCTGGCCTCCGGAACAGTGAGAAATAAATTTCTGTTCTTTATCAATTACCCCAAATACTCAACATATTTTGTTATAGCAACACAAATAGACTAAGACAGCATTCCGTAAAGCACTGACAGTTTTTGGAGCTATGAAGGAATGCTGTGAATGTTATTGCTCTAGGTCAACCATGAAGGTGAGGATTGCTCACCTTGAATAAAATGCTCCAGCCATTGTAGAAGCTCACATGATGAGGCACTATTTTCTAACCACTGGTTTTCCTCCCAGTGCCCTGCGACCTGGGGAGAGGGAGCTCCTGGCTGCAAAGAGACAGGGGCAAGGAAGGGATCTGTGGAGACTAGGAAAGTGGCTGGGGCTGGAAGAGTCAATTTGGGGGAGCAGGGCAAGTCAGAGAAGGCAGAATGCAGTGACAGCTCCTCTGGTCACTGGCAACAGGAGCTGGGGCCACTGTGTCCAGGCCACCTCACATAATAATAGAGTACTTAACACAACTATGTACTGACTCCTTTAGCCTTTATTATAGCCCTCTGAGGGAGTTGCTAGTATCAACTTCTTCAAGGCGCAGAGAAGGTGTAGTTGCCAGTTCCAAGAAGGGACTGGTGATCCTTACCCTCTGGTATTTAGCTGTTCATTCCCTCCCACATGGAATGAGGACTTCCCCCAGTCCCTGATACCTGCCTGCAGCTCAGGCCTGGCACCCCTTTGCACAAGCAGATGACATCTGCTCCTTCACAATAGGTGACAGACAGTGAGGTCCTCGTACCTCACCTTGAGCTCCTAAACCAGCCAGCTGTGCCTTCCAACTTGTCCTCAGATTCTGCTGGTGAAAGGAGGTGAGAAGATGGTCCCTACCCCTCATATCTCTGTTCCTATTGTCAGGAAATCCAAAGTCTCAAGGAGACAAAACTTCTTGTCCTGTACTTATGGTGGAGATGAAGTGTAAAGGGTGAATACTCCTGGAAGAAAGAAGTAGTTGCTGACTTAAACACAACTAAGTCCAGTGATTCGGAGAGCTGAGTTCAGAGAGGGAGAGACAAGAGATCAGGGCTGGGGCTGGAAGTGAGGAATGAGAAGAACCCACGGAAGGAGGAAAAGATGGCACAAAGGCAAGGCTTGGTTTAGCCAAAACAAGTAAGAGTTCCTCCAACCAGTCCTGCCAAGAGGAGCTCCATCTTCTGAAATTTCCAGATTTGAGCCAGGACAATGCCAAATAAGCCACTGGCTGAAGGAAGCAGATGGGTGAAAGTAGTTAGATTTATTTACCGGATACCAACTTGCCAGAAAAGGAAGTGGGGGTGTCAGGAACATTATTTCCACTTCCTGGTTACATATTCAAACATGGAACAACTGAGTCCTAACAGGAAGAGGGAATAAAGTAAGTGACCACTCCAGGTGGCACCACACCCAACACATGTCAGAACAGAGTAAGAATTATTAGTATTGTTGAAGGGCCTCCCAAGAGCAGTGCCTAGGTGCCACCTTAAATAAAGGACAACAAAGTCA